AAGAGTTGAGGGAGGCTGTGGATATGGAAAGCTCCAGGCAGTCCAGAAGTGACCAGACAAGTCTTTCTTCACAGAAGAAGAAATTAATCCCAAAGGGGTGCAGCTTCTGCTGGCTCATGACTGTGAAGCAGCTGCAGTAGGCCAGTATGATGCCATGCTCCTGGCTGGCCCCCACAGAGGACAGAACTGAAGGTTAGACAAGACCCTTGGACTGACCCAGCAAAGGTCTTTCCTTGTGGCGTGTTCTTCAGGCTGTTTTTGAGGATGAGAGCAGCTCTGGGCTTTGCAATGTGGCTGTGGTTTGCTCTGAATGCAAGCAGCACCCTGCTTTTCTCACCTTCCTCTGCCGTCTAATGCAAGTTCCCCCATCCCTCTCGCTGTGCCTTACCCTACACTCTTCATGGGAGTGGGAGCAGTTCTTGAGCCATGGCACACACACAAGCACTGCAGCTATCCCACGCCAAGCCTGGTACAGTAGCACAAACCCCATGTCCTCTCTAGTGAAACCATGGCTAGGCTGGCTTGCAGCCCTCTGCACGTGAGAGCATGCACCAACTCTTCTGCCCCATGCTGAGTGGAATGCTTTGCCTGCAGGAGCGTTAGGCACTAGGTGAAACTACTGATGTCCCAAATTGAGGGGTCTTGCCACCCCTTCTGCATCTTCACTCAGAAGTATGTGGAAGTTTTCCCAGAAGCATTAGGGGGCACTCCTGGAGCCTCTCTGTGCCAGGCTGTTGTGTGCTGGGCTGCTTAACACAGGCAGGTGTGGCAGGAGCAGCGAGGTCACCGTGGCATGGCTCCATTTTTCCCATCATTAAATTTAAGAATGCAGCTAGGTTTACACTGTGTTGGGCAGAGGGGTTGGATGGGGGCAGCACATGGTCCCCTTCAGCCATGTGAGAACTACAACTCTCTAATTCTTGGCCACATCCTGTGGCATGGCACCAATGTAGATCACCCAGGCTGAACGTGTGGCACCAGTAAAGCCTCGGAAACACAGGATGCAGTCCCATGAAGCTGTTGCACAATTAGGCACATAGCAGGGCTCCAGCTGCCTCTGAACCAGGTATCCAAATAACTCACATTTGGAGCAAGGAAGAGCAGTGCAGTTGTTCTCCCCTTGACAGTTTTCAGTCTGCTCCTTCTTGATTTGCTTAATGGGATCTGATTCGGTCAGCATTTAGGGTCTGGGGTACCTGAGGGGTTTAGCTGTGAAATGTTTCCAGATATTCATATTAGATCATCGTCATCAGAAACCAAATTTCCTCCCCTTCAAAGCTGTTGCATGGTCACGGACTTGACAGTGCTGCCCAATTACTGGGGTGAGGTGGGGAACGAATAACCCAGGATATTATAGCAAATTCCCAGAGCACAGGCTCAAGGTCACCGAAGCGGGAGACCGCAGGGACAGCCCCGAAACTCCCGGTGCCAGCGGGCAGGGAGCAGGGGTGGGCAGCCGGCGTCTTTCAGGGGGGCTGTCTGTGGGTCCCCACCGGCGGGGGCGGCTCCGCGCGGCGGCCGCCAGAGGGCGCCGGAGACCGCGGGCTGGCCCGCTGCTGCTGCGGGATGGCGAGAGGAGGGATGTGCGGGATGGCGAGGGGAGGGATGTGCGGGATGGCGAGGGAATGTGCGGGATGGCGAGGGGAGGGATGTGCGGGATGGCGAGGGGAGGGATGTGTGGGATGGCGAGGGGAGGAATGTGCGGGATGGCGAGGGGATGGATGTGCGGGATGGCGAGGGGATGTGCGGGATGGCGAGGGGATCTGACATGGGGGCTACGGGAGCGGGATGGCGAGGGAGTGTGCGGGCACGGCGAGGGGGCTACAGGGCGAGGGGTTTGCGAGGGGCCTGTGCGCTGGGGGCCGCAGGGATGAGGGGTTGTGGAGGGGGTCCGTGCTCTCGGGGGCTGCGGTGTGCGTGTGCGCACCCGCGGGAGCTGTGCCCACGCGTGCCTGCCCACATGTGCACGTCCCGCCTGCAGGGGCTGCGCACGCTAGGGGAGGGCAGTGTGCGGGTGCGGGCTGTGCGCTCCGCTGCGCGGGTTCTGCAGCACACCGTGGCCGCCGTGGGGCTGGCACTGTCCCCCCAGCGTGAGCGCTCACCCATGGCCAGGTGGGTGCGGCAGGGGCAGGCACAGCCCAGAGCAGCAGCTGCTCGTGCACACGCATGGAGAAGTCATCATGCAAACGTGGGCCGGCACAGCCTGAGGTGTGCCTGGGAAGGGAGGGTGACAGTGATAGAATGAATTGAAAATGGATGCTATTTCCTGCAGAAAATCTCGCACAAAGACAAGCATTTTTTACTTTCTTCCAGCACTTTCACTCTCTTATTGAGCAGCTGTTGTCCTCCAAAACATTATTTTGTGATAGAATTATAACCTTCCCACATTTTTACAGTACTTGTGACAGTAAATGTAGCACCCACGGCATGTACTCTAGCTAGCTGTGCTGTAAAACCCAGAGATTCCATGTGGTCCCCAGTGTTATGTGCAGAGGCCACACTGGATCCCAGTGCTCGCAGTCAGCCTAACACACTGCCCAACATCTGCATGGCCTGCTGGTGAAACAGCTGCTGGTGTTAGCCTGTGGTGTGGCACAGAAGATGATCAGTTCTGCACATGGAGAGGTTTCTGCAGCCATCTGACTGGGACACGCGGGGAGCCATGAGGACATGTATCATTTTTCATCTCTGGAGATGGGAGTTTTGGGTTTTCAAATGCCCTCCAACTTAGACACACAAGCTGAAGCAGAAGAGAAGCTGGTGTGACCCTCTCCCAAGTCCTCCATCATATCACATGTCTTTGTGTGTCCTCTCTTACACCTAGATATTGCAGAGGCTCATCTGTTCACCACACCACTACCACACCATGCCATGCCTCTGCCCCCAGTCCAAACCAAGCTCACAAACTCTGACCCATGCATTTAGATGCATTTAGGCAGCAGTACCCAGCCAAGGCCAAATGTCCCCTTGCCTCTGCTGTGCTTGGTGTGCAGTACTTGCCACCATTGGTGCAAATGCCCTTGTTCTGGTTGCAAGGACACCCTAGAAAAGTGGCAAAGAGGAGGAATGGTTGTCACTAGTATGTTATGTACATGTCCACATATGTGTAAAGACAAATAGTATTTAAGCCAGATAGTAAAAATGTGGTGGCTGAAATTTTTTTGTGAGCAACACACCCTGCCTGCTGTGCTCTTGTTTGTTTGCTGGGCCAGAGGAGTCACGTTTTGTGCCAGAAAGGGATGCAAAAGGTCCCAAACAGCCTCCACACCATTATTTGACTGTGACAGATACTTTTTCTGAAACATAGGTGAGGTAGGGGTAGTAGCTGAACTGAAACTTGTTCCTGAGTTTAGGGGAGGAAATAAAATGAGAAAAAAAAAAGCAGTGTTGTAGGATTTGTGTGACAAACCACAAAAGTTGCATGTGGACTAGCTGAAAAAAAGAAGCCATAGATGGAATATAAATTTTCCACACAAATCAGCACATATGACTTAATAATGAAAGAATAGAACTGGGGCACAAACAGCTACTCTAGTCAGCTACCTTAGGAAGTAATCAGACAAATGAAAGTGCAACGGAATTTGAGACTCTGGAGACATCCCTCTTGGATTTGCTGCCTTTTAGTCACCAGCTGGAGTATAACAGTGACTGTACTGTGGAGCAAGCCTGTGGCACCTGTGCTCCACCCAGGAGAGCAGGGCTCTTCACTTCTGCAGGTTGTGAAGGAGCAGTTGTACTTCAGTCTCATGGAGCTCTCCTGAACAGAGCCTTTTTAAATTTTTTTTTTTGCTCCCCTCTGCCATCAGAAACAGCTTTTCTTGGTAGTAAGCATGACTTCTTTCTTCCACAGCAGGATCAGTTCCAACATAAAACCCCATCTCCATCTCCACACTCCAGCATCTTACAGGCACATATACGTATAAATGTACACGTACATGTGCATGCATGCATACATACGTGAGCACTTTGCGTGCACATCTACATGGTGAGCCTGCTTTTACAGACCCACAGCCATGTGCACCTCCCTGACCAGTTATAAAGAAAAGGCTGCCAAGGCTTGGGATTGCAGGGTGAATTTCAAACAGCATCACTGCCGTTAAAGCCATCCAGAAAAGGGAACCCATAAATGAGAGGATGAATGAGAAGATGTCAGGAGTGTTAGCACTTAATATTCCCGGAGCGAGGCTGCATTATTTGTTGCTGCAGCAGCGCGCTCCTCCCTGCCCCCTCTGACAGACCCTGCGGATGCGCACACACACACGTGCAACTTCATTTCCCACCCTCATGAAAAATCAACCTCGCCGGCATACCCTGCACCCTCACCCCATAGGTGTCGTGCCACAGGGCTGTAAGTGCCACAGGGAAGCCTTCCTCCACCCTGACTCAGAAACAAATCATTACGGTGCAGCCCTGGGACAGAGGGGAGGTGTCTGCTGGCTGGGCCCATGCTTTATTGATCGGACCACGGGGATGAATCAGCTCCTGTGGAGCTGGTGTCTGCTGCAGACAGGTACTGGCCACTGCGCAGAATTACAGCGAGTCCTGGCATCTCAGTGCCACCACTGGGAAGGCGGCAGAGCGGTCAGGTGTGAGGGGGGCGACCAGGGGCTGCATCTGCAAAGGGGTGAACCATATCCCTGCACTGGAAGGCCAGCAGCTCCCAGCTGGAGGCACAGCAAGGGCTGAGATGTGGTCAGCAGCCAGGTTTGAGTCTTCACGCTTGCTCCAGGCTCTGTTCTTCCAGCACGGGTGTTGTTTAGGGAGAGCCTCATGCCATTGGAGTGTTGGGCTGAGGGAGGGAGGATGCTGATGAGCTGGCAGGCTGCAGCCTGTAGCTGTGCTGGAGGGAGGCTCACCAAGGTGGGAAGGTGGCCATGCGCTGCAGCCCAAACCCACCACTGCAGGAGCAGCCTGAGAGTGAAATGCTGTGTTCCTGTGTCATCCCCATCTCACCCAGCCTCATGTAATCTTGTCTTCTTTTCTCTTCTCGCACCCTGCAGGACCCGGCACAGGGAGAGTAGACAACGGCTCCATGAGTTTGGCCGTCCCACTGTGGCTTCTGGCAGCGTCCCTGCTCTGCCTACTCAGCAAATGTTAATACAAATCAGAATTAAAATAATAATATTAATAATAATTAAAAAACAACACGACAACAACAACAACACACAAAACAAAACGCGTTATACAGGAGACAGAGCGAAGAGAGGGGAGAGAGAAAAAAGAGGGGGGGAGAGAGAGAGACGACTGTTTCTTTCACAACTTTTGTGTGTTCAGGAGCGAAGAGGGGGGAGAGGAAAAATTACAGCAAAGAAGACTCAGCAACATTTAATCCAAAACCTGAAAAGCCAGCTGTCAAGTCATCGACTGCCTAGGAGGCAACACGAAGCAAGGGAGAGAATGGGGCACCAGCAAGGATCGTGTCGCCAGAGGATGCTGCAATGTAAACAATCCAACAAAACCTGCAAAGCCAATCAAAAAGAAGATCCCTTTTCTTTTCTCTCCCCCTTCCTCTTTTCCATACTCCCTCACTTTCCTTCCTTCCTTCCTCCTCTTTCTTTCTTTTGCAGAAAGAGGTCTTTGCTTCGGTGTCTATAGCCATTTAACTTTTTGGATGCCCTGGGTCATTTTTGTGAGCTAATGCTCAACCAGTTCATACTTTTAAAAACAAATTTTAAAAAAAAATTAAAAAAAAAGAGAAAAGAAAAAAAAAATAACAGCCACAAACCAGAACAAGTCACCTGAAGCTCTCTGCACACTGGTGTCCTGTGAAGAACCCCTTCCTCTCTTCACTTCACCCTGCGCTCATGTGCACCCAGCCCTTGCTAAACACCTTATTCCCTGTTCCCTCCTTCATGAACATCTCCCCCACAGGCCTGATCTAAAGCTGTGTCAACTCTACTGAAAGCCTACTTTTCTTTTTTTTCTTTTAAAATCCTCTTCCTTCCCCCTCCTCAATTCAACCAGGTGTCTTTCTCTTTCTCCTGTGTATGCCTGTGTGCGTGTGTGCATGCATGTGTGGCTCTTGCTTCGTCTACACTCTTTCTCTTTCTCTTGCTCTCTCTAAGCATGCAAAATGAACAGTCCATGTGTACATATGCTCATTCTGTTGTAGATAATGTCCTGCCTTGTAAGTGTGAGACAAGATGCAGAGAGATCACTTAGGCAGAGAAGAGGGGTGAGGAGAGAGGAGCAGCTGCAAAACAGGTTCACATTGTGTCCCCTCTTCTGTGTCCTCACTGGCTTTTTATCTTCTGGCCACCTTGCTTGTAAGAGTCAGTCTGCACCCTTGTCTAGGCTTTTTCTCCTCTCCCACCTCCAACCTCTTTGGCTCTCAGCCCCCAAGTACCAGCATAGCAGCCCATGCTATGCATGAGTGCTTGCACACACGCATGGGGGTGTGCACTCATGTGCAATTGTCATGTGCAAGCAAGCAGAAGAAACCAGGACTGGCCTGCAACACTATGAATGGAAGAGTGCAGTCACCATTCCTCCTGGGGATGGGAGGCTGGGCCAGTGGGATGTGAGTGATGAGACCTTGGGTATCACCAAGTTGCCATTCCTTTTAGGTACAGTGTGCACAGGAACAATACCTCAACATGAAAACCACAATCTGGTCATTCCTAACCATTTTGGTAGACATGCAAAAATAGAGCCATACCCGTTTTTGTTGCTTTGTTGTTTTTGTTCTTACTGTCCTCCCCGGTATAAAAGGAAATGTAGACTGTGTAAGGGTGAGTGTGTGTGTGCATGTGTGTGTGCTGTATACCAGTGCTATTACAAAACTCACTGCAAATTCCATATTCAAAAGAAATTTGGTCAGAAAATGTCCCGGACCTGTGAATGTAAGAAAAAAAAACAAATATCAGGTCCAAAATCCTGGGCTTACAAAGAAGGAGTGTAAAATGATGCAGAAAAGAAGTGGGCAGCAGAATTTCCCCTGCTCTTCTCTTGTCTCAAGGGTGCTCGTCTTGCTGGAGAGTGCCCCACACTTCCCATGACAGAATCACATACAGAGGTGCCAACAAGAGGGGCTTTAGTGGTTCCCAAGAGAGGAGGCGAGAAAAAGCTATGAGAAACAGGACTGAGAAAATGCTGGGCAGTGGCTGGAATTTGCCATACCAGCACAAGATCTGCTGCAAGAGCCAGAGTGAGCAAAACAGTGCAGTGCCTGTGTGTGGGTGGGGGCAGTGGGGAGAAGACTCCTGTGTCCCCTGGCCCATCACGAGCCACAGTATCCACCAGCAGCAAAGATGATAAAACACAGGGTTCATCAGGCAGGCCTTTGTTGGAGAGAGGGATGTGCAGGGGAGAGCTTGATTTAGCCCAGTGAAGTCCAGTGACCATCCCAGGACAGCAGAGTGTTTTACAAGTGCTCAGCCACTCAGCTTTCAAGCAGCAGCCAGTTGGCTCCCCTGCCTTTGCCCTGGGCACTGGGGCAGCGGCAGCATGCTTGGCAGCCGTGCTTACATGCAGGCAAGGGGGAAACAGCTTGGCCTTGCAATGTGTGGGAGGGGATACCCACCAGGTGGTCCCCTGCCAGGGAGGAAAGTGGGAATTGCTGCCTGCGAGCCTGTCCCCACCTTTGCACGGGTGGGGCACAGTCTGGTGACGCTTCTGCCTTGCACTGCGGCACTGCCAGCGCTGCTGAGCTCAGCTCTTCCAAGAAGCAGCAGGCAAACAATTAAGCAGGCAGTGAAGGGCTCCTCCCAGGCTGCCAGAAGTGCAAGGAAATTTAAAGAAACACATGAGAGGCTGAAGTTTGGGCATTGCAAGAGCTGCTGTGGGATTGGATGGTGGTGATTTGTGCTCCTCCAGACCCCAAAGCCATACCTGCAGGAGGGTGCAAGTTACAAATGGGCAACTGGTACTTCAAATCCACCCAAGGCATCCAGGGATGGCTCACTTCCTCCAAAATAGGGCAGTCATTGATGGGACTTGGGCATTTCCTTTGGAGACTGGTTTGTGTCAGCCCACGAAAAAAAATGCCCTGCATCCTTCAGAGCATTCAGACGTCCCAGTCCCCATGCCCAATCTTCAGGAGCGCCATCGAAATCATCGTCTTAGTAACAAGTCCAGATTTTCTGCTGCAGCAGGCCTCCTCTTTCCCCTGGTACAGCTGTGTGCTGATTCTGGTCCCAGAATCCAGGTCTGGGAGCTGCACCCTTTCCTGCACACTGGCACGAGGGAAAACACCACAGTGCACTTTCTTGAGGCTGTTCCTATGCCTGGATTTATTGCAACAGGCTTGTTGAAAAAGGTGGGCAGCCTGCAGTGTCTTGCTGTGGCAGCCTGCTCCTGAGGGCTGAGTCAAGCCCACTTTAGGTTCTTTGATGTCCCACGTGTTCTCTGCATCTGCTTTTGTCACTGTGGGGTCACTCCTAGGCACTGGGTCACACACCATGTGGTGGCAGTCATCGAGTCCCAGCACCTCATTATCTCACATCTGCTTTGGTTCAAAGGAGTTTTGAGGGGATGTTTTTTTAGATGTCAAGGCGTATGGTTAAAAGGGAGATATCTCACTAAAAGCAGGGCATTCATTATTTGAAGCTGTCTACCCATTAGTGGGGGAAATGGCCCCAGCCCAGTGCTAGGATCTGGTCTTTCCTGCAGGCCCTTTGGGCAGATCTTTCTTGCATGGCTGTGAAACAGGGTGAAGGCCTGTTAATTGCAGACCTCTCTTGAGAAAAGCCACCAAGATGCCTGTTCTCTGCAGAAGTGGGACCCTACTACTGGCAATGTCTGTTCCTAGGGACATTGTGGGTAGGTTGGAGTTTGATTTCCTCCAAGAATCTAACCCTGTGAGCTGCAGTGGGCCTCACAGGGTGCTGTAAAAATCCCTCTGTTTCTCCTGAATTCAAGCTCTCCTGAACTTTGAGGGTCTGGTCAAAGTACCTGTTGAGAGGTGAGGCCAGATGAATATAGGAAACACAGGCAAGATCTAATGCTTTTTCCCATTCTTTCTCCCCTCCATCCTCCGATGGAGATGTTGCAATGGCTTTTCTCGTGTCTCAGGCCCTTCTCTCTGAAACTCTTTCTCCTCATCATCTCTTTTCCCCATTTGCATTGCTGTCTTTCCCATTACTTCCCAAAAAGCTGTGTTCTTGCTTCCTGCTGCCTCTCAGCTGGTTGGGGACCAGGGAAGGTGGGTGTTTGGAATGGGACACCAGTTCCTTGAGCTTGTCAGTGTAATTGTGTTTGATTGATGGAGATTTAACATTTAGTGTTATAAAAAGATATGAACAAAATGGAAAAAAAATTGTATTTCTCCTACTGGTTTGTAAATATTACAAGAGTTACATGAGATGTCTGGTAATGTCAAAGCAGAGGAACAAAAACTTAGATTTAATATATGGCCCCATAATTGCTAGCAGATTTCTAACCCTTTTCGGATGACCGAGAGGAGGGGTGAAGGCAAGTGTTTCTGAAAGGAACTGGGCAGGGGAAATGCAGCCACCCCGAGCCACATGAACTCCATGCATGATTGTAGCATGTTGCTTGGAGCGTGTGCCTGGTCAGATGGAAAACGAAGCAAACGCCTGTCTCTGAACGGCTGGGAAGGGCGACGTGGGATGCTCCAGCCGGCTGACACCTGTATCTTGGCAGTTGTGTTCATTTCTGTTTGTTTGCAGCCCCGCACTCGTGAGCTCATTGCTCAGTGATGCACCCTCTCCTCCTCCCCCGTACCCGCTTTCCTCACCAGTGAAGTTGTGTCGCCCCATGCTAACCCCGAGTGCATGTGAACGTGCCATTCATGGAGATCTCATTGGTGACATGCATTGTGTCAAGAGTTAGTCTTTGTCTGCACATCTTTCTCACACCACTGACTGTTCACCACTTGGGCAGATCGCTCGTGCACTGCTGCTTGACCCACTTTTGGCCAAAGAACATCCAAGCCGCACCAGCTCTTCTTAGCTCCAGGTGCATCCAGGCCATACCCCCAGGCCACCTGTCTGAGCAACTCCATTCTCAAAGTCCAACCACACAGCACGGACAAAGCCACCATCAAAAGCCATGTGGTCTCCAGGCTAAGTAGAAGCTACACATCTGGAAGGAATTGGGGGGAGCAGCAGAAAGTCCTGATGAAACAAGAGGATCTGGGAAGTCAGAGGAGTTATGCTAAATCCTTCACAGACCCACCAGCAGATGATATTTCAGCTCAATTTTTGTGCAGCGTTTCATCATTTTGCCCTTCCCTGGTGAGGGAATCTATGGGCACAGGGAAACACCTCTTCTCCTCCCAACCCCTCACACCTCTGCTTCCTCTCCTCCAAGCACACTGACCTGCAGCCCAAATCATCATGGTGCTTGATGTGATGTAGCAGCTGACATGGGGGATGGCTGACCAAGACAGTATGACAGAGGAGGTGCCAGGAGGGTGACCAGTTCTCTCTCTTCCTCTCTCTCTCTCTCTCCTCATGGTGCACAATCTTACTGCTTCTCTGACTCAAGGACACAAAACTTGAGTTAGGGATGCCGGGAGCAAACTGTCCTATGGGAAGAGCAAAACTTGAGGCAGGGAAATGATGGAGAAGTTGGATGGTGATTTCCAAGCTGTGATGCTGGTGGAAAAGGGTAGGGATGAGTGCTGTCCATCATCCATGCGCAGAACTCTCAGGTTCACCAGCGAGGAGACCATGGCCTCTCAACGCTAATCTTAGAGTGGCTTCATTTC